AAAGAATTATTTAGGGCCCAAATAGCAATATATAATCAAAGGCCTAATGGCCCGTTTAGTTCACGGAATAGGTCGGGAATGGCATAGCATTCCCCGTAATAGGTCTATTCCGTTGTTTGGTAACCATTTCTATTACCAGGAATAATATTCCTGGTAATAGTCTATTACCTCAAATAAGGTAATAGCTATTACTAGGGCCCCCCCTGGTATTAGCCTATTACTGAACGCTCAGGAATAGATTTTAGAATCTATTTCCTTTTTTACCCCTTTCTTTAACCTAATTTTTTTTTATCATATATATAAATTTATCCTATTTCACCACCGTCGTCGCCGCCACCACCATCACCGCCGCCGCCACCACCTCCATCGTCGCCGCCGCCACCGCCGCCGCCACCACCACCACCACCATCACCGCCGCCGCCACCACCACCACCACCACCATCTCCGCCGCCGCCACCACCACCACCATCGCCACAACCGTCACCGCCCCCACCACTGTCACCGCCGCCACCACCACTACCACCACCGCCACCGCCACCACCATCGCCGCCGCCCCCACCACTGCCACCGCCACCACCACCACCACCACTGTCACCACCACCGTCACTATCGCCACCATCACATATTTTTATAAGGGTATTTATGTCTTTTAAAACATATTTCATTTCTATTCCTTAAATCAACCAAACACTGTAATATAATTCCTAAAGTCTATTCCTTCCGCGAACCAAACAATAGAATACAAATCCTATTCTATTCCTTGCATATTCTATTCCTTATGGAATAGCATTCCTATTACCTCAAAATTCATTCCGTGAACCAAACGTGCTGTAAGGGTAATATAATCAAACCCCCACGAGTGATGCAACCCAGAAAGCTAAAAACCCTAATTTTTTTATGCCATCATCTAAACCATGGCCTGAAATAAATACCTTACTGAAAAGGACCCTTATGTCTTATGGAAATCCCTCAAGAACCATTAATGACTAGCAAAAATCATTGGTCCTCTCTTAGGCACAATTTGTTTGACTTACCTTGAGATTTAAAGATTTTAAGCAAATGACTAATGATATATCAGCTTTACACAAAATTGTGCCCCAACTTAAGTTGTGTAAGCAGAATTTTTCTAACACGGACTTGATTGCAAAGACATTGTCCTCTTTTCACGTGAATAATCTTGTACTCTAACAGCAGTTTTGGGCAAAGAATTAAGCGAAACATCCTGAATTGATTTCCACCGACCCCCTTCTATTGGTGCAAAGCCATATTGCATGCCTAGTTGGCTAGAGAAAGATCTTCAGTACTTTGTTCCACGTATTAGTCAGACTGAACTAGAAGTTCAGAAAATAATAAACTTGCAAAAGTTAGCAACAAACCTGCCATATGCATTCACTGATTATAAAGGAGTGACTAGGTCCCATATCCCTTCAGAAAATGCTCCGTCAAGAGTTACTGTCCCCAAAGGACCAAGTATTAGCACCGATACTCCCCATCGCCAGAAGCGAGGAAGGACAATTGGTACAAAAGATCTAAATTCACGGAAAAGAAAAATTAATAAACAATCACAATCACTCCATAAATCAATTATTATCCATCCTGAAGATGGTGGTCCTGAAGACGGAGAACCTAGTAAAAATGCACGTGCTTTAACTAAAAATAATACTTGGGATGTGAAACGTCTTTATCAAAATATATTTGATAAGTGATAACGACTTAATTGATGTAAATATAGAAACTGGTATAAATTTTGTGGTAATAGGAGAAAATTATAATAGAAATATAACAATCGTTGACAACCATTTTACCTACACAATTGCCCTTAATATTTTTTATGATAATCTAGATCCAAAACCAAAATCTATAGCAGAGTGCCAGAAGCGCTCTGATTGGCCAAAATGGAAAAAGGGAATTGAGGCAGAATTTACCTCACTTAATAAAAGAAAAGTTCTTGGTCTTCCCGTACTTACCCCGAAGGGTGTGATCCCAATAGGATCCAAATGGGTGTTTGTTAGGAATAAAATGTAATAGTTTTGATGAGCCAAATTTGTATTTTTAGAACCCCCTATTTTATTTTGATTCTAAGTTGTCTATTAGTCTAAGTCCCAAGTCAAGCCATAAAGTCTACGAATTCTTAGCAAAATATACTTATCCAGAATGTTACTATTTGAGAATTATTTATCTTTGAAAGCACCAAAGGATCAAGTGGTGAAGTGGATAAGGAATAAGGTGACTAAAGTCAGAGGTCATGGGTTTGAGACTTAATCTCTACACTTTTGACTAAGAGATATAGAAGGGGACGACCAAGAAGCAGACTTGGATTAATTTATGAATTAATCTAAAATGCTACTAAAGCCATTCTGAGAGTAAAGATCAAATCCAGAATTATTAACTAATGAGTTAATAGGGTGTAATGGCAAAAGCATAAGAGATATATGTCGTTGGGTTCGTGTTTGAATCTCATTGGAAGCATATTTAGGCATAAGAGATATATGTCATTGGGTTCGTGTTTGAATCTCATTGGAAGTATATTTAGGCTAAGTTAACTACAAGTTTGGAAGCTTGTGGACATGATAAGGAAGATGCACGTGAATTCTTCTACACATCTTCTTTCTCATTTAAATCTCTTGCTACATATCTCAAATCATTTCAGAAGAAGAAATGGACGAAGATATATTTTTTACTCAAGCAAGAATCAGAAGAAAATCTTTTGGAAGATTTCATCATTTTGAATCCGTCAAGATAAGGAAATTATTTTTCGGAGAAGATTCAGCTGATGAGCCGACATATACGACTTTGGAAGATTTGTCAGGTGAGGATTTTCAAACTCACTGTAAGAAGCCCATCTCTTGCATTAATTCACCGCAATGCAAGTTGGCAATAATGTGTAGCTGATCAAAGATGAACGATCAAGATCAACTGAAGTTACAACGGTAATATAGCTTCTTCAGCTATATATACCAGAAGACTTGAAGACATGAAGTAGAGACAAGAGAGTGCAATACACGAAAATGAGAAGGCAAGGCAATACAAAGAAGAAAATATAAGCAAAAATTTGAAATATCTAGTCTGAGCTTACACGATAGATATTCTTCAAGTCATTAGAAGAGAAATTTGTTTTCTCTAAATCTTACCTCTACTGTGTGTAGAAAGAAGGTTGAGTGTAGCTTTGTGCAAGACACTACCCTATTGAGTGTAGCTTTGTGCGAGACACTCGTGAGTGTAGCTTTGTGCGAGACACTCGTGGTTGCTGAGTGTAGCTGTGTGCGAGACGCTCGGTGGTGCTAAGTGTAGCTGGGTGCAAGACACTTAGTTGGTGTATGAGTATAGCTTTGTGCGAGATACTCGGGAGTATAGCTTTGTGCGACATACTCGGATTGAGTGTAGCTGTGTGCAAAACACTCGGGAAGTGCCTGTGTGCACTTGATTCACTATTTGTATCTGGGTGAACGAGATAGTGAATTTCCTCCTTGGAGTGAAAGGAGAAGAGTGGACTAGGAGGATTACACCACCTCTGAACCACTATAAATTGCCTCTCTCATTTACTTACTGCTTTTATTTATTATTGCATGCATACTAACCCATTTACTATTCGTCATATTTATGTATCTCATTATTTGGGTTATGTGACTTTACAAGTGCATGCAAACACTATTCCATTTGGATTCATTCATTGATTCACACGTGATATCACACACATATTGAGTGAACCATCTCTTTAAATATTTTGTTGTCTTGCATGTTGAATATTTGACTGACCCATCTTATATTGTGCGAATTTATTCATCTGGGTCTAGTGGTTTTCACGTATGCATGAGGGCATAAATTAGCATACTTATTATTTGAGCCATACCAAGCATAGTTATAATATTGCATGCAAACTTGTGAAAAGCGCTCGCTTTTGCGCTTAAAGCGCAAAAGCGAAGCGTGCGAGGCAGTGTCGCCTCGCTTTGACGAAGCGCGGCTTCGTGAGAAGGCGTGCACCTAATGCGCTTTTTTACCGAAGCGACGAAGCGGTGCAGCGCAAAAAAGCGATGCTTTGTCATGAAAAGCGCAGGTCAACGGTCTTTTAAGTTAAAAAAAATAATAAAAATAATAAACTAAGCTAATAATACTAGTGGAGGAGAAGCTTCGTCGTTCGCATAGAATAGAAACCCTCGAGTCGCCGCCGCTAAGCTGCTGCTGCTGCACTACGCCGCTAAGCTTCTTCTCGCCGAGTTGCCGACTGCCGCTCCCTGCTCGCCGCCGACCAGTCGCCGTCCTCCTCCACTCCTCGCCCGCTCGCCGTTCACAGTTCACACTGGTGAGTGGTGACTGTACTCTCGTTTACTTCTTTTTTTTTTTTTTTTCTCTTCTTCCGTAAAGATGGAAGATAATGTATATTTATATATGAGTTTAAGGCTTGAAGCCTTAATTTATGGTTGATTGTTGAAGGCAGTAGCATTCACAGTAGTCTGTTATTGCGTTCTCTTAGGATTCTTAGTCATTTAAATATTTAATAATTTATTTTGATTAAATGAATAAATGATAATAACTAATAACTACTAAGAATATACGATTAAGATTAATATTTAACTATTTAAGAGTTAATAAACTTTAAAAAGTTAATTAATTTTAAAAATTAGAATTTACAGTTTTACAGTTAATTAGTTATTAGTCATTTAGTTAATTAGTTGAGTATTTTATTCTTGAATCTTGAAGACTTGAATACTTTGTAATTTTGTAGGTGAATATTATCATTTATAATAATGTCTAATTCAAGAAATCAAGATCCGGGATGGGAGCATGGCATACCGGTTTTGGATAAAGGCACTACACATGTGCGTTGCAAGTATTGTGAAAAAATAACAAAGGGTGGTATTTATAGGCATAAATTGCATCTCGTGGGAGGAAATAGAAATGTCCAAGCATGTACAAAATGTCCTCAAGTTGTTAGGGATGCAATGAGAGAGTTTATGCTCAATAAGAAGCAAAGAAAGGAGGAGGTAAGTTCAACGGCGACAATGGGTGTTCCTTCAAACTTTGATGACGAAGATGATGATGGTATGGATTTCCCGGAGGTGGCGGGAAATCCGGTTATGGGATCTAGTTTAGGATCTTCTAACAAATCAACTAAAGGTCCTATGGATTTGTATTTTAATAAAAAGGAACACCAAAGTTTGAAAAGGGCAAAAGGCGGCGAGCAAGTAACATTGGAGGCATGTAAGAAGGAGTTGAGGGAAAGGGCTATGGTGCAATTTTCACGGTGGATGTACGAGGCCGGATTACCATTTAATTGTGTTCAATACACTAAAAGCTTACAAGGCTTTATTGAGTGTGTTGCACAACATGGACCGGGAATGAAGCCACCTTCCTATCATGAAGTTAGAGTGCCATATCTTAAGAAAGAGGTTGAGCATGTTAAGGAGTTGTTCAAGTCACATCAGGAGACATGCGATGTATATGGTTGTTCTTTGATGATGGACAAGTAGACAGATAGGAGAGGTCGTGCATTTATAAATATCCTAGTTAATTGTTCACTTGGATCGTATTTTCTCCAGTCGGTAGATGTTAGCACGAACATGGTGGATGCTAAGAAAATGCTTGAGCTCTTTGAAACTTTTGTCAATCAAGTGGGGAAGGACAAAGTTGTGCAAGTCATATCTGACAATGCTTCAGAGAATGTGAGAGCTGGTATGTTAAAAATATTTGGTTTTTTTTTTTTTATATAAGAATTTAAGATTTGTAAATTTTAAATTTTTAACCTATTAATTCTTTACATAATTTAGGCAAGGATTTAATGGAGTTGTACCCGACATTGTACTGGACGCCTTGCGCTGCCCATTGCATCAATTTAATGTTTAAAGACATCTTTGAAATTCGTCATTTTTCAGTGGCGTACAAGCGGGCTTTGAAATTATCGGTGTATATCCATTCAAAGACAAAGCTTTTGAATTGGTTGAGGAAGTATACTAGGAAGCGTGACTTGGTCAAGTTTGCTAAGACTCGGTTTGCTACAGCATTCTTGACATTCAAGAGGCTTCACGAGCAGAAAAACAATTTGAGAAAATTGTTCAACTCAGAAGAATTCCCCACTAGCTCTTACTTCAAAGAAGAGGCAGGAAAAGAGTGTTCTAGAATTGTGCAAATGCCAAGCTTTTGGAATACAATTCTAGAAGCACTTAAAATAGGCGGTCCATTGATTAGCACTCTTCGATTAGTTGATGGGGATGTTAAGCCATCAATGGGATATATTTATCCTGCGATGGAGATCACAAAGAAAGCAATTGAAAAAGCTTTCGACAACAACACAAGCAAGTACAAGAAGGTATTTGAGATCATAGACAGAAGGTGGACTTCCCAACTTCGTCAACCATTGCATGCAGGTGCGTATTACCTGAATCCAGATTACTTCCGGTATAGGAGTGAGCAAAAGGTTTCTCCTTCAATTCATTCGCCAGAAGTTGTTGCTGGCTTTTATTCTTGTTTGGAGAGGTTGGTTCCAGATCAAGATCTGCAGGAAAAAATTACCGAGGAAGTATCTATGTGGGAAGTTGGCGAGGGTTTATTTGGCTTGCCAGTTGCAAAGAAGCAACGTGGTTCTAGAACTCCAGGTTCTTACTTCTTAAACGATTAACGATTTAACTTACAATTTTTATTTATAATCAAATTTTGAATAATTTTCAAATTTTACAGTTAATTGGTGGACTTCTTTTGGGGGTTCAACTCCCAATTTGAAAGAATTCGCAATTAAGCTTCTTAGTCTCACAACTAGTGCGTCCGGATGTGAACGGAATTGGAGTGTCTTTGAGCATGTAAGTTAGTCAATTTAGAAGTAATTAGCAATTATAACATATTCATGTACTAATTCATTTTAAATATTCCAGTTGCATTCAAAAAGGAGGAGTCGCCTTGAACACAATCGCCTTAATGATTTAGTTTTCATCAAGTATAATAGGGCATTGAGGCGACGATGGGAAATGCGGGATACCATTGATCCAATTTGTTTAGATCAAATTGATTTTGCCAATGAATGGTTGACAGGTATCCCGGAGGATGCAAATGAGGAGTTGGTGTTTGGTGATGGGGATAGCTTGACTTGGGGTGAAATTGCTAAATATTCAAGTGCAAATGAAACTCCTTATTCTCTTAGGCGTGCTTCAAAAGGAAAAGAAAAGGTTGGGAGTTCAACTTCAAGGTCTAAGGGAAAGGAAAAAGTGAATGAAGATGAAGATGAGGAAGATGAGGAAGAAGCATGTGAGGAAGATGGATTTATGGAATTTGACAATTTGGATTTGTGTGAAGAAGAAGATGAGTTTGATATGGATGATTGAATGACTTTGAGTCTATGAATGATTGTGTATTTGTGTTGTGACTTTATGATGTTGTGTTGTTATGATGTTTTGACTTTATGATATTTGTATTATTATGATGTTGTGAGTTGTGACTTTATCACTTTAGGAGTTATTTTGGATGATCTTTTGCATAATTATTTGAAGTTTTTGACTATATATATGTATAATTTATATATATTTAAAGCGTCGCTTTTTGTGAAAAAGCGACGCTTCGCTTTGCGCTTTCGCTTTAAAGCAAAGCTCGGGCTTGTCGCTTTAGTGCGCTTTTTCGCTTTAAAAAGTTTGATTGCATGTGATATATCTCTTTGATTCTACGTAACACTTGGTTGTTTAAATTATTCCGTTGCGCATCTAAGTTTCATATCTTGTTACTTAGAGTTGAAATTACCAAAGTGTTATTAATTGTGAAAAAGTTTAAAAAGTCTATTCACCCCCCTCTAGACTTTTTACCACCCTATCGGGACCAACAATTGGTATCAGAGCAGTTGTCTATTTGAGTCAATTTTGGCTGCTAGACATATCTCAAAAAATCAAGATGATGAAAAGAGACATGGCTCTTGCCCAAAATTTATTATTTTCTCTTGAAAATTTCGATGATTGGAAAATTCGCATGCAGGTACATTTACATGCACTACATGATGAAATGTGGGAAGTAATCACTAATGGTCCAATTGAAATCTTGCAAGTGATCACTGCTTCTGTACAAACAAGTGATACTCCACAGTATGTTTCAAAGCCTAAAGTGGAATGGACTCGTGAAGATAGAACACAAAATAACTTGGATAATATTGCCAAAGATATTTTGTTCAAATCTATCGACGATACGATATTTCCAAAGGTCCGAAAATGCCAATCCGCAAAAGAAGTTTGGGAGACACTCATCCAAATTGGTGAAGGAGACGAACAGGAAAAGGATAATAAACTCACCATAGCATTAAAGAAATTTGAGGATTTCAAAATGCTAAGTGGCGAGAATATTACCGACATGGAAACAAGATTTGCCAAAATCTTGGGAGAAATTAATGATCTTGGAAAAGACATTAATCAAAAGGAAATCTCACTCAAAATCCTACGTGGTTTACCGTCAAGTTGGGACATGAAAGTCACTACCATGCGTGATCGTAGAGATCTAAAGACTCTATCAACTGATAAGCTTTTTAGTGATCTAAAAGCTTATGAGTTTGAAATGAAGTCAAGGACGGAGGAAGAACGCAAAGAAAAGAACAACGCACTAGTTGCCGAACAACCGTCCACGTCAAGGTCAGTAGATAATAGTGAATTATTAAATAACGAAAACTTTGCTTTGTTTGTCAGGAAATTCAAGAGGTTTTTGAGGAAAAACAATCATAAAAGTTTTCCTAAAGCAAGCACATCACGAAGGCATAAAAAGGAACCCATGGAGGACAATTCAAATTTATGCTACAACTGTAGAAAACCTGGACACTTTATGGCCGAATGTCCTTATCCCAAGGTAAGCAAAAATCAACCTAACATCGTGTAGGAGGAAACCAAAGTCAAGGATAGGAGATTCAACAAGAAAGACAAAAGAAAAGCTCTTATTAGTGACCCACTAGAAATAAGTGAGTCTGAGGAATCTTCTAGCAACGAAAGTGACAGTTCTACAGATGATAATGCACTATTTGGAATGAGCATGTCAAGCAATTCAAATAGTCAAGATTTATGTCTTATGGCACACGAAACAGATGATGGTGAGGTAACTTCTAAATCCTTTGATTCTGTAAGTTCATCTTTTTCTAAAGAGTCTATCTTTCATATGATGAAGGATTGTCAAACCATGATGGACACTTACTCGCAAATCAAGGAGCGCAATAATTTACTGATTCTTGAAAAAGATTAACTAAATGAAAATTTGCAAAATGCTCCATCTGAAATACGAGACTTGAAAGTCGAAAATATTCGACTTCAAGAAGAGTGTAAATCAAGGGAAGTGAGAGAACACAACCTAAGGGAAGTTATAGAAACGTTTACTCATTCATCCAAAATAATGGATAAAATGGTAAATATGCAAAAATCCTCAGGAGATAAAACCGGACTTGGTTATGATCCATCGTGTTCTCAAGCCTCTGAAAAATTGACCAATTCTACTACTGCTTTAAATAATAAAGTCCAAGTAGTAAAATTTGTAAAAGGTCAAGATAGCACAATGAGACAAGGAATTGGTTATCAAGCTAATGCCAAAAATGTTACTGCAAGGCCGAAGCCTCAAAGAAAATTCAATTCGCCAAAGCAGTCAAATAATGGGCAAAAGTTTGTTCCTAAATGGAAACATACCAATGAGTCAAGTGCACAAAGTCCTCATAGGAGAACAGGAAGAACTCCAAGGATTGGGGCAGGGAGACTTTATCCCTCTGAAGAAGATTGGTTTGATGATATTAAACCATGGACTAAGTCCAGATTTAATGTCTTTCATAAGCTCAAACAAATCTCTTCCCAAGTGCCAAAAGATCGAGTCAATTTTCAAAATCCGGCACCAAAACCTTTTTCGAAAATTAAGTATGATTATAATGTTTTCAATGGTTACGAATCACCTAATCTTGGATCAATAAGAACTAGGTGGATTTGGGTACCAAAAAAGACTAACACTCAAGGACCCAAGTTAAGTTGGGTACCTAAAAATGCGTAATCTGTTTGCAGGAAATTTGGTACTTCGATAGTGGATGCTCACGACACATGACTGGAAATAAATCTAGTCTTGTGGAATTTAAATATATCGAAGGACCAAAAGTTGTGTTTGGAGGAAATGATCGATATGGCACAACCAAAGGAATAGGAACAGTATCCCGCAATGGTCTAAAAATAGAAGACGTATCCTATGTTGAAGGATTAAAGTTCAACTTGCTGAGCACAAGTCAATTTTGCGATAAATGCTATCTTGTAGAGTTTTTCAAAGACAAGTGTCAAGTGAAGAACGGATCCAAAGGCGAGATTGTTCTAGAAGGAATTAGAAAGAAAAATATGTATGTTGTAGACTGGAACACAACCAAAGACTCTGTGTGTCTTGTAGCAAACAACTCAAGCAATGTGGGTTCGGAATGGCACAAAAAGTTGAGTCATCTCAACTTCAAAACCATTAACAAGCTCATGACGAGAAATCTTGTCAAAGGACTACCCAACATCACTTACAGAAAGGATCAGATTTGCGATGCATGTTAAAAGGGAAAGCAAATCAAATCATCCTTCAAGACAAAAACACACGAATCAAGTCAAAGACCTCTTAGTCTACTACATATGGATCTATTTGGTCCTGTGGAGCCAGTAAGTATGAGTGGTAAGAAATATACTCTTGTTGTTGTTGATGATTTTTCTAGGCACAGATGGACGATATTTCTCGGGAAGAAAAATGAAGTAGAGAAGAAGCTACCAGAACTTCTCAAACAACTTCAAAATGAAAAGGAAGCCAACATTGTCAAAATTCGTACCGATAGAGGAACAGAGTTTGTGAATAGCGTAGTTCAAAATTACTGCAATACTCAAGGAATTATGCATCAACTATCAGCTACAAGAACTCCACAACAAAACGGAGTTGCCGAAAGGAGGAATCGTACGCTTAAAGAAGCTGCACGAGTAATGATAGCTGCAGCCGAGCTACCTAAACGCTTTTGGGCCGAAGCAATCAATACTGCTTGCTATACCCAAAACAGAAGTCTAATCTACAAGCTGCACGACAAGACACCATATGAATTGTGGAAAGGGAGAAAACCTAACCTTAGTTATTTTCATTCATTTGGTTGCAAATGTTTTGTTCTTAATAATGGTAAAAAATATCTAAAAACGTTTGATGAACGTGCAGATGAAGCAATATTCTTAGGATATTCTTCCACCAGCAGAGCATTCAGAGTATTAAATAAATCAACAATGGCGGTTGAAGAATCCATTCATGTCGCATTTGATGAGTTCTCGAAGAACAAGGAACATCCGACAGTTGGCATCAATAATGAAAATAATACTAATAAAATTTCTGAAGATATTTTGCAAGGAAATAGTAATCTAAACTGCTCCGGAACAGAAACCGATGTGGAAGATGATATAAGGGAAGAAGTAAGGGAATGTGTTGGGGTTGGAGTTGGAACTAACACTACAAAAAAACGCGAAAATAGTGATGGATTTAGCGACGGAATCATTCTGTTGCTAATTTAGTGACGGAATAGCGACAACTTAGCACAGATTTTCATTTTTTTACTAAATAGACATTTAGCGACGGATTTGCAATCGATTTTGCGACGGAATATTTCCGTCGTTAAATACGTAGCTAATTTTAGCGGTAAATTTTTGCGCAAAAATTAGAGACAAATTAGCGACGGATTTGAGACAAAATTTTCGCGGGCTAATTTCATAATTTTAATTGCTACAAATTAGTGACGGATATATTAATCCGTCGCTATATTTTCAAGTTTGATTTGATTGTGTTTATATTTTAGCAACAGATTTTTAAATCCGTCGCTACATTATATAGCAAGATTTTTTTTAAACACTCTAGCAACGGATTATCTATTCCATCGCTAAGTTTGCAAACCGAATTTTTAATATTTTAACGACGGATTCTTAAATCCGTCACTAAACTTATGAAGCTTGTTTTTTTAAACACTATAGCGACGGATTTGAGCATCCGTCGCCATATTTACAAACGAGATTTCTTAATAATGTAATCAGAATATTTAACTCTAACGACGGGTCCTAAAATCCGTCGTTAAGGTAGACAAATTAAAGGGAAAATCGCACTTTTGGTCCCTCAATTGTTCCCAGATATGCAATGTAGTCCCTCATTGTCAATTTTGCAAAATTAGTCCCTCAATTGTTTCAATTGTAGCCAATGTACTCCTCCGGTCAAATTTTTCACTAACTAGTGTTAAAACTATGGACAATTTTGTAATTTCGCAACCCATCACTTTTACCCCTAATTTTTTCCTTCACCCGAATTGACCTATGCTAAGTGAACGAGTGCTTCCGGCACATATCCAAGCACTCTCC